AATAGTGTCTTCTTCTTCGTTGGTCGTCTGGAAAAGAGAAGAAAACGAGGCTGAATAATTTGATTAGAGAGGGAGGGACATGGGGGACTCTTTTTTCACTTGGAAGGTGTGAAGAGAACCCCCTCTCCTGTCACACTTGTCTTTTCACAGCCAACAACAAGCCTAGGGACTGACCCACTTGACCTACAAAATTTCCAGACAGGTTCGTATACCTCGCTTCCAGTTAGACAAGTACATTCCAGAGAAGTCTTGAACGACCTTTTCGAGAAAAAGAGATACAAAATTTGGATTTCGGACACCGATAACAAGGTCCTAACATGAAAGTTGAGTTTTTTTTTTGAAGAAAAGGGATCTTCTTAAACTGCCACGCTAGATTCTCAGGTGTTTCACCAAACTCAAACGAAAATTCCAGAGAATTTTTAAAATGCGGGATTCGGGTTTTATGATTTCATATAAGACGGTTGAAATTTGAAGAATTTTTTTCGCATGTATAGAAACAGCTCGAATTGATGATTTCATGTACCATGTAGTCTTTATTTCAGTTTCACCAGATATCTGAATTTTCTGTACAAAAATTATGAATATTCCAGAAATTAGTCAAAGTTATAGAAAATGTAGAAAAACCAATCTTTCTGCACTTTAAACTCCTTGTTGCTCTGTGCCTTCTTTTCTTCTACAGGTACAGAATCGGTTTGTCTCCCGATTTTGTACTTTTTTAAAGGAAAAAGTGGTCACGCCAAAATCAAGTATCATTTGAATTGTGCCACGAGAGGGAACAAAATCGGTAGGCAAACCGATTCTGTACCTAGTGAAACAATTCACAATTGGTTTTCAGAAATGAGAAAAAAATTCTTCAAATTTATACCGTCTTATATATTTCAAATTATTTAAGCTTTAGAAAAAATAACAGCACGAGAAACACAAGCAATATGATGTTTTGCCTTCTTCCTTTTTTTGAGACCTCAAAGCTATCGATACCCAAAACACTAAAATTTCAATCTTTCACAAATATGACACTCCCGCCAAAACTATAATTTTCAAAAATGGTCATCAATAGATGAAGCATCTAGTTTTAGAAATTTTTCGAAACCCTTTTTTTGGAAATTTCAGATGTTTGGATTTTCAGCATTTTTTAAATTTGCTATTTCTGCTGCTCTGAATTTCTGAACTTCAGGAATTTCGAATTTGTTCGAATTTTCTGGGTTATAGGTTTTTAGATTTTCAGAAAGTCCATTTATCCACCACAGCATTTCCGGGGTGTGCGATCGCCATACTAAAAATTAGTCATTGACTTTCTATCTTCTAAATGTTTTATTTTTCATTTTTTAGCGGAGGTGTTTAACAAAAGGGCACTGAGGATTTTGAAGGTTTTCCCAAAATTTCGAAAAAATTTTCAATTGAGAGTCATGGTGACAGATATGCTCTATTGCACAGCGCAAAAATTTTTGGATGTCAAAAATGGGGCCTATCTCCCACTGCTGGAATATACCCAAAAACGATTTCCCAAATTTTTTGGTTTCAAAATTTGTCATCAAAAATCTGTTCTTTTCCACCCCAAATCTATAATTATCTGGCGCCAAAAATATTTTGCCTTCTAGACACATTATAATTATTTTTGTGTGTGTTGGACGAATTCTCCAAAAACACATCATTTTAAATGGGATTCTTGGATTTCGAAAAGTCGAAAAAAATTATAGAGGAGAGTCCAATTATGAAATTTTCGGGGTTTTTCAGAGTTTTTGGGTTTTTTTTTTGGCCGACTGCGGTCCGGATCGTTGACCAAACGATCTGTTTTTGCTTGAATTGGAAAAAAAAACGTGAGCAAAAAAGGTGGGGGTGGAAAAGGACCGGTCCCAAAATTTTTGGAAAATTTTCCGAATTTTCCGCATCACTAAAAAAGTAGGTGGATTTGAAAAATGGGGAAAAGTTCAAATTTCCAGAAAACGAGAAAATATGAAAATCTTGTTTTTCCACAGAAAGAAGAATGAAAAAAAATTGTGTTCATTAAATCTTTGTAGTTTTTTGGTTAGACACAAAAAAGAAGAAGCCGTAGTAGTAACAAAATAAAAATTTCAGACATCAGATTTTAGTTTCTTTATTGGCCGATTTTTGAAAAATCGAATAACTTTAAAATAAGTTTTTTGTCAAAATTTTGAAACCTGATTTTTATTCGAAATTTCGGGAAATTTTGAAAATTTGAAATCAAGTTTTCAAAATTTAAAGAAAAACAGTAGATAAAATTGAAAAACTCCCGAAAATCTAATTTCGTAAAATAGAAGTTTCCGGAACGAAAAAAAAAGAATGTGAGACTTCTTTAGACATTTTTGCCCACGGGGGACAATAAAAAAGAGAAAAATCCTATTTTTTCCAATAATTTGACTAATTAAATATATGTAGAAGCAGCTGACATGACCACACACATATGCTTCTTGATTTTTATTTTTCTTTAAGAAATCAGACTAAATTTCTGATTTTCCGAAGTCTGAACCTTTGAATTTTGGAATTTTGGAAGTTTCGAACAACTCAATTTCTTAGAACTTCTGAATTTCTTTATAATTCTTAATTTTTCAAAAACAAAAACATTTTTGATTTATAAAGTCTACGGAACTCTGTCTCACTGAAAAAGTAGAATGAAGAAGCAGTCAAAAAAAAAAATGAAAAAAATTTCGCCAGTGGTTTTGAATTGAATTTTTAATCGTAGTCTTCTCTCGTCTCGGAGAAAAAAGGGGAGTCAGTCCTTTTTTATTTTTTTCATAAAGGAAAAAACAGAAAGTCAGAAAAAGGAGGCATTGTTATATATATATGGGGAAGAAAAATCAGATATTTTCAAGAGTGTTCGTTTCAGAAAATCTCAAGAAAAAAAAACGAAAAATTGGAGGAAGTTTTGGGAATGCTGAATATTCAAAAAGTCTAAAATTTAGATCTTAGAATCTTAGAATTTCAGAATACCAGATTCTCAGAATCTTAGAATCTTGAAGGTGGTGTGCGGTGAAACATTTTATTGCTTCATTTTGTGCAGAAATCCATGTAGATTCCCATAAAAATAAAGAAAAAGTTCAAAAAAAATCCTTCATTGAGAAAAACGGCATCGAAAAGTCAAAGTGGGAACCGGTGGCCTAGCGGTCAGGTGAGAGGTTTCTAGGCCAACTGCCGGTAAAAGCGCGCGAAGTTCGAATTTTTATTGATTTTCAGTGTTTTCTCAGATTTTTGTCAGGTTTTTTCATACACCTGGGAGGAAATTAACAATAAAACTTTGAAATCTTTAAAAACGCCAGAGAAAACACTGAAAATCAATAAAAATCGAATTTCGCGCGCTTTTACCGGCAGTTGGTCTAGAAAACTCACACCTGGCCGCTAGGCCATCGGTTCCCACTTTGACTTTTCGATGCCGTTTTTCTCAATGAAGGATTTTTTTTGAATTTTCTCTTTCTTTTTATGGGAATCTACATGGGTTTCTGCACAAAATGAAGCAATAAAATTTTTCACCGCACACCACCTTTAAAAGCGATACAAATCGAACGAATCAATTACTGACTCATATCAATTCCAAAAAAAATGAATCTAAGAATCAGAAAAGTCAGAAACAAAAGAAAAAATTAATTCTAGGATATTCCCTATCCATACTATCTTTTCCATTTTTTACAAACTCTGTCCCTTTCTTTTTTCTGACGATGAGCAATGAGAGAAAAAGAGTCAAAATCCCAAAGAGAAAAGATTCTAAAAATATGTGTCCGAATGAAAAACTATCGAGGGAGACGGGAAAGGAAAAGTTTGTGTTGTTTCAAAAAAGCCGAATTTGAATTATGGAGAAGTGGCAAGAAGATCGCGGGGTCATTCGGTCCCACCAGAAAAAAAGTTTGTGTCTAAAAAGATACCCTTGGGGATGATGTAAATGGACAGATAAAAACGGGACTGAGCGGAATGGCAAAATATAGAGCCAAAAGTTTGGAAGAGAACGGATCCTCTTGTAGAAGGTTCCCTGATTTTGAGTCCATTTATCTCGTTTTCTATGAAAGATATCAAAAAGTTGTATTATTATGAACATTTTATCAGTTGACCACTTTTTGATATCCCTTACAGTAACCTAGATAAATTGGGTCAAAGTAGACAGCTCGAAAATTCGTAAAATCAGATTATCGTACGCAAACGCAAAACTTTTGAAAAGTGTTTAAAATATAGTTCAAAGTATTGTCGGAATTGTAAAACTATTTTTGTAAACGCAGTGCAAAACACTCTGCTTTCTGTACTGAGTCTGCATACACTGAGGTCGCAATTGTTTTGTTCTGACAATAATCACAGTAGTCACTTACCGTACACCAAAACTTACAACGATTTCCCAAGTTTCTCTAGGAAGTTGGTTGCCAGGGTGAAATCATACGGAAAATTCAAAGTTGTCATTATTTTCAACTAAAAATATCTGAATTTTCTTCAGAAGATATAATGGGTGGCATTCGCAAATGCACAACATCTCACGACATATTGAACCGAATGTTTTTTCTCTTTTTTTTTCAAAATTTCAAGAATAAAATAACGCATTTGAGCTTAAAGTTCCTGGAAAAGTTACTTTTAACATCTAGGAAAAATTAAAAAATGTCCAACTGATTTTGATTAGAAAAAAGTTGTTAACATGTGACCCGCAAAACTTGGGTGATTGAAAAATCAAACAACTATGTCACAGAAAATCTAGATTCCACAAAAAAATTGAAAAAAAATAAATAAAGGATGTTGTAGACTAGAATTGGGCTTAATTTTAGTGTCTAGAACTATTCAAATTGCCGCCAAATTTCAGTTTTCTGAGAAAAAATAGTCTAAAAACACACAAAAAAGCATCCTATGGTCTGGTTCTTTCTTCCTCTTCGTATATATTTTTCCAATTATCGCCAGTCCGGAAATTGGACTTTTTCTTGATGGTTGTTGTCTTTTGGTGTGGCTCCGATGTACATATATATTTATTTTGTACCCCACAAAATCCCTAAAAATACTCAAAAAATCAGGCGTACCTTGATTCCCAAATCGGCGCAAACTCTCTTGTACGCATTGTGCCAGAGCTCTTGATAATTCCGTTTCTCCTCTTCTTCGTGAATTGTTTGACGGACGAGTGATGGGGGCTCTTCAAAATGAATCTCTTTCTTGCTTCCTGGCGGGTATCCATCTGGAGATGATTGTTTCGAAGGAGAGGGACGAGCGGCGCCATCTTTGGAATCCTAGAAAAGTTTGGGCATTTTTTGGAAAGAAGAAATTCGGCAAATGGACAAAGAGACTGTGTCAAATTATCTTTATAAATCCTTTTTAGACATCGCGAGAAAATGTTAAAAAACACGAAATAGGTTTGAGCTTCTCAAAATATAGCATTAGGGAAATTAATTTGTTAAAATAACGATTTATGAAAAAAAAATGCTCATAAATTTTCTTTCTATGAGCCTGAAACGTTCCAGTTTGTGTTGACTTTTTGAGGATTTGAAAATCATCAAAATGAGATAATTTTGTAAATTTCAGCATCTAAATTTCAAAATTTTTCTCTTTAAAACATGTGATTTTCAAATTCTCCTTTAGCAAAATTTCATTCTTATTCTGCAATTCAAGAAATATCAGAAAATCTTAAATTAATCCTTCATTCAATTCTCTAAAATTGGAATTGGAGACAGACTCGTGTACCGCCTCCACAAAACCAAAATTAATTTTCGTATAGCCCATAACACTCATATAACTAGAAAAAAAAGACCTAATCCTAATAACTATGGAAAAAAGGATTGTCTCTCTCTCACACACTATCATTTTTCTCGTTAAACGAGAGCCATTATTCCAGAAAAACCTCCCGGACTCCAGGACAACCTTCTTACCCCTTCCTGCCCTTCCTGATATCCTTCCACATGCTGTTTCCAGTTGTCTTTCTCCGCATCTTCCTCCTGAATCGAATCATACCTCCAATTGTGGTGAGAGTCTGGTCTGCGCCTTTAAAAATAACAGTTGTATTATCAGGATCAAAAATACACTTACCCATCCTCATCGTCATAGTAGCCACGCCCACTATCGCTTCGTCTATCCTGCCTATCTACTGATGGTGTTCGAGTGAACGAGTGACGGGATCCACGATCGACTTCGTCGTATTGGTGAGTGTCATCATGATAGTTCCATGCGTTTGATGACGTTGGTCTGGAGGATGATGTTCCGGGTTCTCGCCAACCCGATGTGCCACTGTAATAGGGGTGTGTTTAGAGATTGGAGACTTTTTCGGGAGTATTCAGACAAATGTTGCAGCGTTGTTTTCTAGGGTTCTAGGTTTTTTAGTGTTATGTGGCTATTGATTGGCTGCGACCGCGTAGCTCATGTAATAGGTTCTTTGGAAAGTTCCTCCCATTTTTATCGTTAGAATGTAAAAAAAGTAAAACGGGTCAAAACGTAGTCGGCTAAATTGAAGACATTACCCATTGTTATCAATGACTTTGTGCCAACGTTCTACCAAATTGTGATTGCCGTGCTCTCAAAACTCGGCTCACAGCGAACTGAAAACCAAATCAACCCATTTTTGATATCCTGTTTTGAGGTGAATTTTTTTCAACCAACATGGCGTTGGAAATGGCAGGATAAGTGATAATCAGAAAGTAAAAAGTTCGGGCTATACGGTGGATAAGACAGCATAGCCCAGCCACATCCAGCGAGATCGGCCTGGGTTTTCCTTCCCACATAAGGTTGGAGATTATAATTTTGAAATTAAACTTTAGCGCTTTTCCGCAATGAAGAACTACATGGAGTATGAGTTATTACAACCAACAAGAATAGAAGTCAGCCGTAATAGGGACTACATAATCTAGCAGCTGTCAATGATCCACTTCTTTGTAGACCACCATATAGACAACAACCCTTTTTTATCACGATTTTCACGTTTCGGGACGTCTGGCGGTTGGGCACCTTTGTCAACCCACTTGGCGTGTCGCTTATTTTAATCATACATTACCCATTTATCACCACTGGTAATGATTTGATCCCACCATTCATGTGCGCAACCCAGGATGAGAAGATTCAAACAGGTGCCCACACTTGTATCCAAGATACTTTGGTCCAAAAAGTGTGGTCCATATTTTCCCACTTTCTAAACTTTGCCTAGAGTTTCCAATTCATGGCTTCCAATTTATTTGACAAAAGGCTTGCCAGAGATGTACTTGATATACCCTGGCCAGTTTGAAATGGGTATCTTTCAATTCCGTTTTTCAACGCATCCAAATGTAAGCCCGTTTGCATTTGTGAAGGGGAATTTTCGTCTAACCAGAATTCTCCTTTTCAAATTGGTGAAGTCAGGTTGTGAGGGTAGTTCGAAAGGATGAATCTTTGTTGTTCACCTCCACTAATGGGCAATCGATTTCAGCTAATCTATGGTCAGATAGAATCAAAAATAAATTGGTAGTCCAAAAAAGTAAATTGTTAGGGGCGAAAACGGTGGGCATATCTCACTACACGAGAAGAAGAGAATGATCTCCGTTGGGGTGTAGTCACTATTAGACCCCACCAATATACTGATAAAACTTCAGGTCCATCGCTTCCATAAAAACCGAGTTTGAAAACAGCACATCAAAAATGGGAGGAACTTTCCAAACAACCTAATGATTTTGATCATATTTTTTCAATAGAGCGCTCTTGCACCTTCTCCTTTAAACTCACGTTCTAACATGTCCGTTCGGTGGTCGACTGTTGTATGAGAGCGGTTCGGATTCGTTCCAGTACTCTCTAAAATAACTTTGTGTTGGTTATTGAGTGTCCGTCTGTAGGCCTGTATGCCCAGAAGCTTTCGGGACTATATGACTACCCAAGAGCTGCTTTTTTTTGGTTTTCAAAACTTCCAAATTGTCGCAAAACCTCTTTGAAACAACTCACCCTTGATAATTAGAAGAACTATAATCATTCCTAAAATCACTTGATTGTTGTTGATGTGTTGAATAGTCGTTTGGTCCTCCATGATCATCGTACTGATCTTCCGAATAAGTCGGATTGATGCCATAGTTCTCATCATCCCCGTACCCATTGTGATCGTACACGTACTCCGGCTCGTTATGCTCCAGAATTGGCTCATCTCTGGGCACTCGACCGCTCGACATCGGTGTGTCATATCTCTCCTCACTGCTCGACGCGTACCCGTAAACCTGATCGAACTGGTTCCTTCGGTTTGCCGACGAAGACTTCTGCTGTGCCGTCGGAACGGCCGACAAGTCGCCAAACTCGCGAACCGGCGTCACCGTGTCCTCGTAGCTCTTTTGATCGTATCCCGGATACTGATTGCTGCCACTGGGACCGTATTCGTCGTAGAACGATGATGAGTGATGGGGATGTACGTACTGATCGTCGTGGAGGAGGTGATGGTCGTCAGGATAGACGTCGGTTTCAAGTTGATTTCTAGCGTGATAGGCGTCTTCTTCGTCCTCATAACTCGCCTGCAACGTCTAAGATTGTGTTCCGGGGGCTTTTCTAGGGAATATGAGATGAGATTTCACGAGAGACTCTGTTCGGGGTATTCTGGACTATGTTTTTTTATACAAAATACCGTGCGGAAATATCAAAAAGTGGTCAACTGAAAAATTTCGATTATAACATTATAAATATTTTGTCAGTTGACCACTTTTTGATAAAAAAAAAAGGTAAAGCGGCTCAAAGTAGAGGCTTCTTTCCGTTTCCTGAAATTCATTATTTTGAAGAATCGAGTTTATTTATTGAGCTAGGAGCTTCTTGTTCTTAGTGGAACTTAGGATCTTAGAAGGACAAATCAAATTTTTCCCAAAAAATCTCCGAACAGAGTCTCTTATTTTAACTTACTGCGCCTTCACGAGTATGCTGCAGCAGCTGTTGTCGACTGCGATGCGGATGTAGATGCGATTCGTATTGATGCGCGGAGCTATTCGGATGAAGCTGATGATGGTTGACTGGAACGGACACGTCGGAGGTATAATCACTGTCTTCACTCAAACCCGCTGGAAATTGTGGAGAGGTTTAGTTATTGGATTATCGTTTTCTAGATGTTTGTAATTTGAGTTAAATTATCTTGGTTCCTATAAGAGATATCAAAATGGGGTCAACTGATAAAACGTTGCCGATATCATGATAAACATTTTAATAATTGAAAGTTTTTCAATATCTTTTACTGCAACTGAGATGAATTGGGTCAAAGTAAAAGCTTCAAAAAAGGAAGTTTAAACTCACAATGATTGAACGGTGCTCGGTGATGGTTGGGATTCAGCTGGTCCTGGAAAAATAGTGGACTAGGAATGTTTCTAGGCCATCGAAAAAACTTACGTGTTCGATGAGTCCGTTCAGCGCTAGCAGCTTCGACTGGATGTCGTCGTCGCAGCCTTGCGCATCTGAAAAAGAACAAAATAATTTTCGTGTCCGAAGGGAAATAGAAGGAAACACCGGAGGAGGAGATGTTCAATGTGATTGATGGTTTCTATGCATTTTCGATACAATTTTTCGCGCGAGACCCGGGAGAGAGAGAGAGAGAGAAACAGAAGCATGTGCAGAATAAAAATGAGCTTGGACTTGCTCTCTCCGAAGTAGAAAATGATGAAGTCATGGAAACTTTTTCTGAGAGGGGTCCTTGAGTATGAATTATCTATAACTTTGTGTGGTTTTTGAGGGGAAAGTTTAGATGCATCAGTTTAATCTTGGGGATTCTGAAAATTTTGCGTTCTACTCATTTTCAGGTTTTTTTGCATTAAATGTATCTGACGGGAATTAAGATAAATTTAGTTAAAGTTGAGGAGTCTAAAATGTTTGCAATTAAAATTTTGGGTTTTCAAAAAGTATTTATCATAACAGAGTTTGTAAATCAGTAAAATACTAAAATGTTCCAAGTTTTTTTCCAAAAAAAAAAGAAAGAATATATAAGTCAAATGATTTTCCAAACAAGAAATTTCCCGTTTTTGGAGTAAAGGGGAACTAGAAAAATTCGATTATTTTTATAAAATTATAAAATTATCCATGAAGCTAGAGCTCTAAGGAAAAATTCTATCAAATTTTTTTCGTATTTTCTTGAAAAAAAGAAATCTGCGAAAATTCAAGTTTCAAGATTTCAAAACAGCTACTAAAAAAATAGACCGCCCAAGCTTTTCATCTATATATGGATTATCTTTATTCTCCACAAATCTGGGGCAAAAAAGTGTCAAAAGCAGAGATTGGTGTCTCCTTTTTCTTTTAAATCTGAGAATCCTCTTCTCCAGATTCTTCTTCTTCTTCTCCTTTTAAAAAAGGAGGGACTACCCATTTCCCGGAAGCCGAATGAGACAAATTGTGCATCGACAATGATTGTGTGTCTATGTTGCACTTCTGTGTTGCCAAAATGACGAAATTTCGTGGATAAAATGGAAATTTGTTTCAAGATAAAATACAAATATTTACCGAGAGAAAAGGGCAACAAAAGGAGGAAAACTGAAATTGAAATTCACAAGAGCCTAGTTCCGGTTTTGGAGGGGAGCAAAGAATATTGAAAAATAGCTCGAGTACAAAAAATTTTGAAGGCGGGGACGGTGATTATGATGTGACGGTGTATAATAATCGGTGTTCACACAGCGTTGACTACCATGCCGTTTTCTTAAACTACACGGACGCGCCACCATAGCTCAGCTGGTAGCGACGCGGCACTTCCAACGGTGGGTCCAAAAAATTCGAAAATATTGCATTTCAAAAAAACCGTGAAATTTGAGCTCAATTATCTCTGTTCCAAATGGAGAGATATAAAGATGTGAACTGATAAAATGTTGAAAATTTTATCACTATTATTTTGTTAGTTGACTACTTGTTGATATTTTTTATAGGAATCGGGATAAATTATAATAGGTCCTATAGGTCAATGTTGGTAGTGCCCCTTATTTTACAAGACACGGTAGTTACGGTAGGTTTACGGTTTTTGAAAAAAATTAAAGTTATCAGTAATATTTAAGCTGAGCAATCTAAAATGATTCATTTCCAGGCCAATTGTGGAACATCTTTTAAAAATTTGAAAAGCCATTTTTCAATTGTTATTTTGAAAAATAAACTGAATTTAAAGATTCGAAAAATCTGAGATTTGTTTTTTTTTGAATTTTTGAATTTACGAATTTCCGAAATTCCGAAATTCAGATTTCTAATTTTTATAAAGATTTTCTAAATTCTAAGATTCTGAAATTCTGAGATATTTTGAAAATTCGCAAAACAAATTTTCAGAATCTACAAATTATTATTCTCGGCAAAAAAATAACCTAAAAAATGGAACAACAAGGAAAGAAAAAAGAATAACGAAGGAACAACAAAACAAGAAAGAAAACTAAGGATAAGAGAAAATAGAGGAAGAGGAATAAAAAACAGGTGGGACGGGAGACGGGACATTCTTCTTTTCCAGAATACAAAGAAGAATAGGTCGTCGTCGGGAGAAGAAGAAGAAGAATTCTGATGATAGAAGAAGAAAAAGTAACATAAGGAGAAGAAGAAGAAGAAACGACTTCTCCTTCTTCTTCTTCTGTGCTTCATGCTCTCCACATCGGTGACAACTGTGGGTGCCAGAAGAAGAAGAAGAAGACGTCGGAAAACTAGAAGAAGAAGAAGAAGTATGTGTTGTCCAAATTAGGAGCCGCCCAGCCTTCTTCTTCTGGAGCACAGAGAGACCGAGTCGTTGATATGTCAAAAATGAGAAGAAAAAGAAGGAATTGTAGAAGTTGGAGAAGAAGAAGGAGATGGAGAAGAAGAAGAAGAATATGCAATTATCGGTTTAACGACTTTCGAAAAAAGGAGCCCCCTGCCTGACAAGCGGTCTGGTCTGAACCCCAAAGTCTTTAACTGGTACTGCTCCATTATATTTTTTTTAAAGAAGAAGAGGAATCTGAAGAAGAAGGAAAAGAAAACTTCAAAAAAATGGTGGGTAAACAAAAATGGAGAGGTTTTATTACTCTTTCGCTCTTTTTTTGGGGTGGATTACTTTGAAGAGGAGAGTGGTTTAGAAAATATGAAGAAAAAAAAACGAAACTTGATTTTTTTCTTTGAAAAAAAGAAACGTTTTCAGAAGTGGCTGAAGTCTGAAATTGTGAGAAAAACAAATTTTGGAAAATTTCAGATTCTCAGATTTTCAGAATCTTAGAACTTCAGAATTTCAGATATTCAGGATTTGTCAGGATCTCAGAATCTCAGAATCCGAACTATTAAGAATCTCGGAATTTTGGAATTTTAGAATTTCAGAGTTTCAGAGTTTCACAATCTCGGTATCTCAGATTTTCGGATTACCATAATCTCAGAACCTCAGAGTCTCTGAATTACAGAACCTTAAAGTTTCAGAGTTGTTAACTTTCGAAAAAAATTTTACTTTCGAAAAAAAAATTCCCTAATTCCAATAATTTTTTAAAATCTAGGTATCCAAGTATCCAAAAATTTCCGAATCTCAAAATTCTAGAAGACGAAAATCCCAAAAAAAAAACAGAAATATAAAACATAATAAACTCAAATATTTTGAATTCCTTTGAAAAGAATACTTCTCAAACTTTGAACTCATATTTTCCACTTCCAAAAAGTGGAATTCGAGATCCAAAAACGACACAAAAATTCGATACATTCTCTTTATGTGAACGCTCATCTTCATTTCCAACCTTGCAAAAAAAAAAGACTGGTTGATCTGTAAAGCCCAAAAAAATCTATACGAATGGAGATTCGGATGAATTCTTTAAAACTGCAAAAACCAGAAAAATTAAAAGTTTGACAGAAATTCTGATTTGCAGTTACTAGGAAACCAAAACCGAATGATTTATATACTTTTCAAAAAGAAGGCAAGAAGTAGATTTCGATGAAAACTAAAAAAAAATAGGAGAAGTCTAGAGGGCAAAACGGAAAAAGAGCACTGGAGAGCAATCGTAATTAGTCTCTCTCTCCCTCCGTTTGGTGAAAGATTTATCGCCCAAAGAAATCTACTCTTCCAAAGGGAATCAATCGAAATTTTCTCTTTCTCTTTAGTTTTTTATACTCTATGATTTTTGTGAAATCAAAATGTACGATTTTTAAATGTTTCAGCGATGGAGCGCACTCTCAACACTTGCCTTTTTCGAGCTCAATTATCTCGGTTCCTATAAAAGATATCAAAAAATGCCCGCTAATCAAAAGTTGGTGATATCATGATAATCATTTTATCAGTTGACAGATTCTTGATATCTCTTATAGGAACCGAGATAATTGAGCTGAACAAACTATAAGGAAGAAAAAAAAGACAAACCGAGAGAAATAAAGGAATCGGGAAAGTTGAAAACCAGAAATTTCTAGAAAATCTAAAAACCCGAAAGCTTAACAAATGAAAATCCTAATTTTAGAATAAATCTGAAATTCAAAAAACTCAATAGGTACAAACTTTTCAGGATCAGAAATCCAGAAAGATCATCAAAATTTAACAAAACTCCAAAAATCTTAAATTTTCAGCTCTTTCAAAAAAAAAAGCTGGAAAAAAAACCAACATCAGGGATAAAAGAAAGTGCTTGTGTGTGTATTTTCTTTTTTCCAAAAAAAGAAAGTAAAACGAGGAAGAAAACAGAAAACCACCCAGATTCTATGCGGCGGTGCAAAATTCTCACTTCGTTCGGAAAGAGAGAGAGAGAGAGAGAGAGAGAGAGAGAGAGAGAGAGAGAAGCTGATTCCTCTCCAGGGAGGTGTTGTCAGAAATCGGGCAGGCTTTTCTCATGCTCTGACACTTATTTTGTGTGATGGTCTTGAGAAAACTTTGGGAATTCCAGAATAAAAGGAATCCAGGAAATAGGTTTCGAATGTTTGATTTTTTGAGAATCTAAGATTCTCGAAAATTAAAGCTTGAATCTGAAAGTCGTCTGAAACCTCGTTAGACTTGAAAACAATTGACAATTTTCAGAAATAAATCTCGGTAATTACAGACACTTCAGCTCGAAAAAAAAACGTTTCTGATCTAAAACAAAAAAAAAAAAAGGAAAACTAGTCCTAAAAACAATCCTAAAAAGTTAACAAAAAAGGGAAAACACGATTTAGAAAGAGAAAACAAACAAAAAGGAATAGGGAACATTTTGATTGTGAGTTGATTTTTTTAGAGAATTGGACAATTTATAAAAATTAAAATATTTTTAACTCACCAAAAGGCAATTCGAATCTTACATCTGCCAGTAAGTTGTGACCAGTTGGACCTCTCGTTCCCACAGTTTGACCATTCCTTGTTTCTAATTCATGATCCATTTGAAGCCACTGACCCGAACCGGCGGCGTTGCTGAAAAAATTGTTTGAAATTTCAGATTTTCAGAATTTCGGTATTCTATTGTCTAAAATTGGCAGTCTCAGAAGATACCTTTTCCAAAAAAATTATCGTAATTTTCAGAAAATTCTGAAGTGTCCCTAACGTTGACCCAATTTATCTCAGTTCCTGTAAAAGATATAAAGAAGTGGTCAACCGATAAAATGTCAATAATTTTATCTAAAACATTTTTTTTGTTGACAACTTTTTGATATCTTTTACAAGAACTGAGATAAATTGGATCAAAATTGACATTCAAGATTTTGTGAATATTCAAGAAGTCATAGTCTTCCAGAATTTCTCTAGACTTCAATATTTTTGTACCTATTTTGCTGTTATCCAAATTTTGGATCTGACAGTAATTCAAAAAGGTCTATTGAAAAAAATGTAGAGACTAGTAAAAGCGACCTCTTTTTGCTTCAAAAGTTCTGAAAGTTTCAGAACAAGAGGTCAGTTTCCGCAGTTACTGTAAAGAGAAAATTGCAGTTTTTAATGTGGGTGGGTTTGAAAAAAACAGTTTTTAGAGTGATTCTGATCAAAAAGGAACTCGAGTGGATTGAAAGTTGAGCTACGGCTGACCTAAAGCAATGAACAGGTAGTTCAACATTTTTCCAGTTGTCTGAAAATTTCTGAGTATAGAGCTTTACTTATGTATTAACAACTATTTTTTGTAGAAATCCAAGAATGGAGTTTGGCAAAAATGTTGCGAGTTACAAAATTAAAGAAAAAAATGCACAGAAAGAGGCATACCTGTACTTGACATCGGATAGTGGCATATAATGAACACCTATCAATTTGTCCCATAAAACTCCTTTTGCCCACAACTCGAGCACCATTCCGTCGTCGGGTCGATTCGTTTCACTGGAATCAAACTTTTTTTGTGAAGCTTGAAGTTTTGAAAACCAAACTTCTATGAATTTTAAATTTCCACAGTTTTTCTTTTCCGGCATTTTTCAGATCTTTGAAATTGCCAAAAGACCCAAAATTTACAGCCAAGGAAAAATCGTGTTGTGTTCTCGAATTTTCTTCTGTTTTTACGTTCCTTTCTTCCAGATTTTTGCTAAGAAAATTAGCCGGAATTCAGGAATTTGGCAGAAAAAAAGCGACTCACAAAATAAATTCCTGTTCCCAACACGGTAGATTTCCCCGAACAGCCACTGTCGTCGATTTCACATTCTGCAGTTTCACAGTGACGTACGAGTTGAATTCGTCTGGAAAAAAAGAAGCATTTCGGGGAATTTCTATACTTTAATTTTGTTGAGAATTTTAAGATTTCCAAATCTAAATAACTCTGAATCTTAAGCCCCATTACTTAACAAAAAAAATTCCAATAATTTTTCTAAAAAATTCATCAGAAATTTTAAGTCAATTTATCTCGTTTTCTGTGAAAGATATCAAGAAGTGGTCAAATGATAAAATACTTTTAATAATATTATCAACATTTTGCCAATCGACACATTTTTGATATCTTTCACAGCAATCGAGATAAAATGAACCAAAGTTAGAGTGCACTTCTAATACAGGTTTTCCGGAACTTAAAAAAACTCCAACAATATTCCACAATTTTAAAAATTTTAGAACTAAATGAGAGAATATAACAAAACTGGAAAATTAGGATTTTTTTTTCGAAAACTTTAAGACAGAATATCTCACTTTTTGTAAAAGATATCGAAAAGTTGTCAGCTAATAAATTATTTATCATCTTATCGCAAATATTTTATCAGTTAACAACATTTTGATTGCTTCCATTTGAACCGATATAAATTAGGTCAAATCTAGAGTACTCATTTTTCCAAAAAAAATCTGAATTTTCAGAAAGAGTAAATAGGAAAAATAAGAAAAACCATTCCCTTTGTAAAAAACATTCTCTTTTTTTCAAACAAAAAAAAGAATTCATGTAATTGCTTCGATGGAGAAAATGATGATGTGATGAATACCGCATACATGAATCCGGGCAAAAAAGCGAAAAGAAAAGAAAATCGAACAAAAAAAGAAGATTTGAGAAAAATGGGAACGACTGGAGGATGAGGGACTAGAACAATTTCAGACCAAGAGAGATGAAGTTTTTTTACAGATCCAGTAAATTAGAAATTTCAAAAATCCAAAAAATTTTCAATGTTCTGCAAATTCTAAAAACTTAAAAAATGAAAAATTTTCAGTTTCGGATTTTTATTTTTTATTTTAGAATTTTTAGAATTTTTACGAACTTTATGTTTTTGTGCTTATTTGGATACTTCGGATTCCTGTATTTTTTGCGATTTTCGAAATTTCACGATTTTGCGATTTTTTTGGATTCTAAGATTATTTTTAAGTTTTAAACTTCTGAATTTTGATTTTGGAATGGTAGGTATTTCGTATTTTTAACCCTTTCGGATTTTTTTGATTAAAAAATTTTTTTTGGATTTTTAAACCCTGAGATTCTTAGATTCTTACAATTAGACTCAGAAATTAAGAGATTTCGAGATACTGAAATTCTGAGCTTTCACGGTCCCGGGTTCCGAAAAGTTTTAACTAAATCCACCAAAAAAAGTTCAAAAGTTCTAGAAAAATGGGTTCATAAGTTCGGCACATTCTCATACTAAAAACCATGAAATATTTATCCCAAGAGAGTGATGATTCTACAAAAAGTGAGAAATTTTTTTCTCTTTTTTCCCTCAAAAATCAGCAAAGAATGAAGATTATAACTCAATTTTGGAATGGGAACAAGGGACGAATAAAGAAGTTGAAGATCAAGAATCTTCGTTTCTTTTCGTCAAGAAATGTTGTGAGCACAAAGAAGATTTGGGTATTTGATTTTTTTGTTGATTTAGAATAAACCAAAGTTCAGTTTTTGGAATTTGGAAATCAGAATTTCTAAGATTCTGAGATTCTGAGATTATGATATTCTAATATTCTAAAATTCTGAGATTCTGAAGGCCAGAAATTTAAATATTCATAAATTCAGAAAATCTAAAACTCTGAGATTTCGAAATTTCAAACATCTGCTGTTGGTTTCCAGGTTTTCTTACTTTCTCATTTTTGAATCAAAATTCAAAAACTCAAACGTTTATAAATCGAACATTTCCAGATTCCAAAAAATCCAAAATTTGAAGAATCCAAGAAAAATTTCAGATTCCACAACACCAAATTTTCATTTTTGTTCTTTTTCGAATATATAATTTTTGAAAATTAGATGTATTGTTCCTGAGAGTTTCAAAACGTTTTCGAAATTCGGAAATTCAGAATTCTCCTTTTTTCAAATTTCCGTTTTTATTAACTTTTTTGAAGGTCAAGAAACTTCAGTTATGCGGAGAGTCCAGAAACAAATTTCAAGCATTATTGAAGTTTTTATCCTGTACAAGAATATTGAATTTCTGATAAAATTCACATTTTGAAAATCTATATAATTCGAATTTAGTCAAATTTTAAATCAAAGTTTTTTTTTTCAAATTACAGATTCTCCAGATTTTTGAAATTTTTTTAATTATTTTTGTTTCCGAATTTCAGTTTTCTAAAAATCCAGTTTTCCCGAAGCTTCCAAACTTTTTTGAAAACTAGACTTTACTTTCCGTGCTTATCCCTCTTCCCACTTATAAACTTTTACCTCATGATCCCTAATTTACTGAATTTTTCTTGACCAGGTCAGTTCCATGTTTTTTCTTTTGTCCCATTCGTCATATTTTCATTTCCCAAGTGGCTATTCTCTCTTTCCAAAAGGTCCTTTTTTACTAGTTTAGGTGCTCCATGGTCCACTTAATTTCCCTTGTTTCTCTTTTTTCTCTTTTTTCCTTACTTTTTTTTCTACTAGAATGGACCCTTTCTTTTGGTTGTACTTCTTTCTAAAAATGTAATTGTTAAAATTTAAATGGCCGTGTTTTTCAGAATTGTTCAAAAAATAGTGTCATAGAGAGATAGAAGAGAAAAAGAGAGACGAGAATTAGAGAAAGAGAAAAAAAAAGAAACATTCATTTTTCTCGAAAATGGAGAGAAAATGACAGGTGTCAGATCTCTGGAGATGGATGAGAATGATGAATTTTTCCGAAAAAAAATTTAGAAAACGATTCGTTTTTTTTCTTTTTTCTTGTAGGTTGAATTGGAATAATTTGCATTTTCGGGTCAATCGAATTCTAGAGAGTGTCACTTAGAGAAGGACTACTGTAGAGAGAGAGAGGAAGCGATGATGAGCAACGTAAAAATAAAAAAGGAAGAGAGGTCTGGGTTGACTATGAATCTGGGGAGTTAATTTGGTTTTTTGTTACGGTAGCTGGGAAAAAGAGTTTAGAGTGTTGAGGATCTTGAAATATTTAATTTCAAAACTTTCAAAAAAAATCTTAAAATCTCATAAACGAAAGTTAGAGGATCTGAACCACAGAGTTTCCCAGTTCTTTGAATTTTTTTGTTGGTTTCTTCAAGAAATTGTTTCTAACTATTAAAACTGCAAACTTGATATCCAAATTATTGAAAATTAGTTTATAAATATTTTGAATTCGGCAGTTTTTTCTTATTTTTGTATTTCTGTACTTTTTTGGATATTTTTAGATTCTTGGATTTTCTGGATATTCCGGATTTTCCGTGGGTTTTCATTTTTCCATATTGGTTCATTCTTGAAACAAAGTGGAGTTTTTGGTTTCACCAATTTATCTTTTTTTTCAATTTTTTAAAAGTTTTATGTAGTCTTGAACTTTGAGCGCAATTATCTCGGGTCCTATGCAAGATTTCGAAAATCTGTCTACTGATAAAATGTTTATCATAATATCACCAACATTTTATCGTTAATAATTTTTTGATATCTTTTACAGTAAGCGAGATAACTGATCTCAAAGTGGAAGCATACGAAAGTTTTTACTATGGTTTTTGGTTTATTTTTATTTTTATTTTTGAAATTCAAATCGACTCACCAACAGTTCCCTGCAGTCGTGCCTTTTTAACTGAAACAATCAACGTTAACATCTCGTCCATAATTTCACTTTTTCAGTCTTTCTGATGGGTTATTCTCAATCGACAGTAACCGCCACGTGGCAAAATGGTAAGAATAGGAGAAGGCGGGGAGGAACTCACTGGTAATACAGAGCAACCTCATGCTCATGCCATCTGAAAGTTGATCATCTTGGTCTTGATAATCGTCGTCGGCGGCCGGATAGGCCTCCGTCTGTTGTTGACACGTGGCATATTGATTGGATGATGAGAATGATGGGGCGACGTCGTTACCACTGGACGGATACGCGACGCCGCCGACCAGTTGTTCTAGTGCCGAGAACAACTTGGTCTCCTGAAGATTTTCTTTTTGGATCAGGTTTTTTTTAAAGAAGGAGAGGATCGATACGACAAAGATCGGTGGATACAGATTTTTTAATCTAGAATTTCTGAATTTCAGAATCACAAACCTGTAGAAGTTGAAAAACTCAAAATTACAAGAATCACTAAATCTCAGAATTTCAGAATGCCAAAACTTCAATAATCAGACTTACTTTTAACCAGTCCATGGACCAGATTTTTGAAGAGCTCTCGTTCCGAATTTTTTTTCCAAAATTCAGATGACGTCATTCTTCATAATACTAGAGTCAGAGTCAACTGGTTCAAAATAAATGACTCTTCATTTTTTTTGGTTCCAAAAAGAGGTGTGAATCTTTTTGGACCGCCATAAATTAGTGGAAAAACGGGCGGAGTTTATGAAATTAGCTATACGGTAGTCTTAAAATTTTAGAGTTTAAAAAACTGGATTCCAGAATCATAAAGCCAATCTATAGAATCTTAAAACCAAGGTTCACAAATTTAATTATCCTAAAAATTCCAAAATATACGAATTGGGATTTTTCTCACGACAACTTCCCACCCGGTGGGAAAAATGTTTCAAGAAAATTCAAGTAGATATCTCACAAATTCAGAATACTAGAATATCTTCTAGATGACGTGGACCACAAAAAAAGAAGGAAAAGTCAGGAATAAGAAAAGTATATGGTTAGGAAGAGAAAAAAGTGAGCTTCTTTTTCTTACTTTTTGCATGAAAACTACTAGAAAAAAGGAGACTTCTTTTTCTAGCATTATAATGAAAAATAAGGAGAAGAAGAGCCTAGAAAAAGGGGTCAAGGGGTCAATAAGTCAGGATGGACGGAGAGTCTAGTACCCAGAAAAATAGGTTTGGCAGGTTTTTGAAAAATTGGAAAATGCTCAAACTCTATACGTCTGATTTGAGCTCAATTATCTCGGTTCCTATAAGAGATATCAAAAATTTTTTAACTGATAAAATGTGGATGATGTTATAATGAACATTTCGTTAGTTGTTAGTTTTTTTATGTCTCTCATAGGAACCGAGAAAATCAAGCTCAAAATTAACACATAGGGGGATCATATTACATCATTTAGGGTTCCGCGGGAATTTGAAAAATTGAAAAATTCGTGGGAAAAAAGTTTAATTCAATTTGAAAAGCTTAATTCAGACTATGTTTAATTTGAACTGTGGAGATAATTTTTCAAAAAGTTAAATAAAAAATACAGTTCGTAAATTAAAAATTGGCTTCCAAGAATTTTTTGAAGTTTTTGTTGAAAAATCAGAAATTCCAAAACTCGGAAATCCAGGAAATTTAAAAACTCAGAAACTAGAAAATTTTTGAAATTGGAAATTTGGAAAATCAGAAACAGGAAAATTCGAAAATTCAAAAATGTACATATTCAAAAATTCAAAAATTCAGAAACTTGGAAATACAGAAATTTTAAAATGCAAAAACAGAAATTCAATTTTTCAATTGCATTTGAAGATGGTTTTCAAGAAATTATTTTAAAAATTTCAGGAAAATTTTTAACTTTTGAGCAAAATTTCCGATGCAATTTGCCAAATTTGATCGTCAAGTTTGAGTTTTCGGGTTGGATCACAAAAATTCTGAATAAAAAACCCAAAAGTGCTCGAAAATCTAAATTTCAAACTTTCAAATTTTCAATTTTTACAATAAAAATTCCTAAAAAATCGTAAAAAATCGCCGAAAAAAAAACGGGAAATAAATATTTTTATCTCAACCAAAAAAAATCCTCTGGGTCGTCCCAAGCCATTTTTTGGTGTGTCCAACATACACAAAGCACTAAACGAGAAAAAATGTTAGTAGCCCCAAAACGAAAAAAAGAGGGACGAGATATAGTACAGGGAGCCAGTGAGAGACGCAGACAGTCACCGGAATATGTATAACGGGTCTCTGGGATAGAAGGAGAAGAGAAGAAGAGGAAGAGCAGTTGGAAAAGAAGAAGAAAGAAAAGAGAGGGACTCTCTCTCTCTCTCTCTCTCTCTCTCTCTCTCTCTCTCTCTCTCTCTCTCAAAATTCTCAGAGACACGATGTATAGAAGGGACCCCGCTAGTCTCCAAGAATTCTGGAGACTCTTCGGATGGAGAAAAAAAGGTTACAGGAATTGAGAGAGACGCAGACAGTTACACCACTCCTCATTTTGGTGGTGGAGACCCCCACTTTCGTCCCCTCTCCTTTTCTTTCACCCCACCCTGGAACCCCAAAAACGGAATGGATGGTGAAATGGACAATATGGATGATGTCTCATCCTATGGAATCCTTTGGAGGAGGAAGAAGGAGGAGGGGACCCGCGGTTCTCTTGAAATCACCAAATTTTGAAATTCCTTTGAATCGTAGCGAGTTTGTGAATTTTTGGATTCCTCAGATTTTCAATGCTTTCAGAAATTCAGAGTTCATTTTTTGAGAATATTTCATAATAATATAGGGAATTCGATACTCAAAGTCTCCAAATTTTCTAATTTCCATCCTGTGAATCCATTAAAAATATTTTCTGAAATTTTCATAGTAAACAAAATAAAACCAGAGTTTCAGAATATCACAATCTCGGAACCTCATATATTTTAAAATTTTGAATTATCGAATTATAAAATTTCAGAATTCCAGAAATTCAGAACCTCAGATTCTGAGAATCTCAGTATATCAAAACCTCAAAATGGCAAAATTTCCGAAATTCAAAATGTGAAAATCTTAGAATTCCTGAATCTGAGAGTTCGGAAGTGGTGGTAAAATATAGAATTAAGAAATAACCAATGCTGAAAAAATACTTTTGAAAAATGAAAATCTGGCAAATATGATGAAAAACCAAAATTTCAGTAGGAGAGAAAAAATGCACCTTGAACAAAAATCGAAAAAAAAAGACCGCAGAATTTCCAAGTTTCCGAATTTCCGAATGCCATAATCTCAGAATATCCGAATCAAAGTATATCTGAGTTTCAAAATTTCCGAATTTCTGAGATTCTGAATTTCTGAGTTTCAGGATATCAAAGCATATTTTCAGAAAATAAAAAAAAGAAACAGAAAGTTTCTCGTTGAAAAAAAGGTCTATTCGAAGGAACAAAAACAACGAAACCCAATATTCCCCAAATCTAGGAATGCCTAAAGTACAAAATGAAGGAAATAGAAGGATGGTTCCCACGGTTCACTGACCCAGTTCAAGGAGTCTATTTTCTGGCGAATTTCAATGAGATTCCGAAAACTCCAATTTTCAGAGAATCGACAAAAAAAAGAAGAAAAAGAAGCATACAAAAAACAAATTTAATTTCAGAGCGTTTTTTTCAGAAGAGCGCAAAAAGTGAAAAACATTTTTTTTTATTCCGATGGCCGTCTGGATTTGCCTATGAGTCATTGTGTTCGTTGGAGCTAGAACAGTCAGCTAGAAATAAAATGAATCATATGACGCGGAGAAAAATTGATAGAGAGAAAAAAGTGGGTCTGCATTTGGAAAAACAACTTAATAACTTAGTGACGATCAAAAAAATAAATGAAAATAATTTCTTTCGGGCGCTGAAAAATTATTTTTCAATGTCTAGATTTTTGAGGTGATTTTCGAGTTTCGAAATACATATTTCGTGATTCTAGAAAGTCCGGAGCCTCAGAATCAGTATCTCAAATTATCACATTTTTCGAACTTATGTAATTTATGAAAAAAAATTTTTAGAAAATTCTTTCATTCTGACTTTTAAATAAAATTAGTGTGTTTTGGAATTAACTTCTAATACATATACTTTTTTGTTTGAACTTTTCAAATCTCAGAAATTTTTAATTTTTGTTATTTTTCTTGTTATTTTGGTCTGGATGGATTTTTTAAATTAGATGATTATTTGAAAGTTAGAATTCCAAGAGAAATAGGAATCCAAAAAACTAAAAAATGATAGAAATAAAAGACAAAGAAATCAAAAAAAATGGGCACTCTTCTAGAATCACGGAACGAAAAAAAATCACGGAACGAAAAATAAAATCACGGAACGAAAACGAAAATTTTGGGTAATACAAAAAATTGCTATCTTCTTCACTTTGACAAGTAGTATCCGTAATACTAACTTTGGCATCAATTTTACTTTGTCCAAAACCCAAAAGTATACTAAAAAAGTGTTTATGAATTTCTTAAGATACGCTAGTTAACAGGTTACATAGGACCTGTAGAACATCTGAAAAAACAGTTTAAAGCTGCATCAAGCAGTTATTGAGCTTGCTGACATTTAAGGGTGTTCCAGATAAAAGAAACATGGCGTTTCAGCCTAAGCCTGTGATTGAAGAAAGCTTCCTCAATCCAAAAATATCATCCAATTTTTGAAAAATGAGAAATCCGATACAAGAAGTTTCATGCCAAGATTTCTACTCAATTTGGCCCAAGGCTATTCTTATTCCGGACCAACATTTTGTTCCAAAAAGACTAATTTTGAATTAGAAAAGATTTCTTCAATTATAGACTTAGGCTGAATCATCGTGTTTCCTTCATGTGGTACACCCAAAAAACGACGGCAAGTTTAATAACTCTGATCGTTGCAGCCTCTAATCTAACTCCCATATGTCCCATGATCCCCAGAACATCTGGGAAAGGTCCATGTACACTATCAACTAGTGTACCTTAAGGACTTAATATACCACATTTCGGGTGTCATTTTGGATACTGAGCAAAGAAAATGTAATGTCAAAGTTAGATCTCAGGATAGTACTTGAATGAAGGTCCTAGCAATTTTTGGATTACCCAAAATTTTCGTTCCGTGATTTTATTTTTCGTTCCGTGATTCTAGAAGAGTGCCAAAAAATGCAGGAATTTTAAAAAGAGGAATTCAAAAGTCCAGAATTTCAGAAAACCAAATATCTGAAGGTCACCAATCCCGAATTCTCAGAACTCAGAATCTTTGACAACCCAAGCCATGGAATCCAAAAAGTGAAACATCTCAGGACCTCAGAATTTTAGAATTTCAGAACATCAGAATCTCAGAAAATCAAAATCTCAGAATCTCAGCATTTCAGAATCTCAGAATCCTAGAACCTCAAAACCTACGAATTTTAAAATTTCAGAACATCAGAATTTCATAATCTCAGGTTTTCAGAATCTTAAAATCTCAGAATCTTAAAATCTCAGAATATCAAAATCTTAGAATCTCAAAACAGAATCTCACAATGTGAAAAATTCATATTTTATATGGAGCGTATAATTCATACGGAGCGAAAAAAATCCACCT